ACCCCCGAAAGAATTGGACTCACTCACAGGAATTCTGATGAATCTGAATACGCATGTTTCAAGGCACCCCTTCACTTTCAGACAACCAGCTGTCTCTCTCTGATTACCCAGCATCCCCCAGTGTCGGACCTGTCATCTACAGAAGAGCGGCAGGGTGTGAAATGGAGGGGAAACGGAAGAACTGGTTCGGTGAAACGTGTTCAGACGGGTCAGTGAGAGATACAGAGTTGGAACTAGGATCTGCCTCCACCTCGGCTGAGCGCAAGAAGTGGACTTTTTTGGAGTTGTTCAAAAAAAAAAAGGAGGCACAACTTATGTTTGTTTGTAGACTCGTATTTGTTACAGTATGTTTTTGCAGATGGTTTATCATTATTATCAGCGCCTCTGTGTAAGCACTTAATGGTGCCCTGAGAGAAAGAAATACATCCAAGAGAAAATCATTTGGTTGATTATGGACATGAATAAAAGATCATACATGCCCACAGTTAGCCTTTTTTTCTTCGTTGTTCTCAATTAGCCTCAAATTGTGGAATCAAAGGCGTGTTTGTTTTGCCGTTTTTGGTACATTTAGATGCTGTGACATGGGCCGTCATGATGCTCAATGCTTCTGCAGCATGAATTGCTTATTTGAGGAGGAAGTCTCTTCTTTGGAGTTCTCTCTATCTGGTATGCCTCTCTGTTCATGGAATTACTTACCTCCAACTATTAATTAAGACCCATCTCCCATCCTTTCTTAATTTGGGGCCCTCTCCCCACGGCGGCAGTCCGTTCCAGGTCGCAGTGCCTTCAAAGGGTATTGTTGGCAGTTTGACCCCTTTGATGTTATTATTTGTTTTCTGTGACCTCCTTCTTTTAGAAATGCCTCCTTGCAGCGTGCGCATGTGAGCGTGCGAGGGCCAATTAAGGGCGACCCCAGGTCAGGCCTCCGAGTCAGAGAGGTTTGTTCAGGCTGGACCACTGTCCATATGATGAGAGGCATTTTTAACTTGCTTTCACTGGAGTCCGTTTTTTAAAAGTAAATATCACTTACTGCATCAAGAAGGATTGCTGCCAATTTTTCAAACTTCAAAGCGGCGAACCAAATGTTGTTTGTTGGACCTTGCATGGTATGCGAGTATGTGATGCCGTTTGTGCAATGAAAGCGCTATGAAGGAAATACACTGATCTTCTGTTTGCTGTGCTGTGAACTTCACAGTGGACCTCTGTTCGCCCTTAAACACTGGCTGCACAGGCCTCTCAGGTGGGCTAAGAGTTTCCATTTTGAGTTTTCAGATTTTGCCAGAGCTCAGTTTGTACGTTAGGATGATAAATACCCAATGTTTATTAGAAAGCTCATGGAATTTGTTTCTTTATTGTTTGGGTGAAAATGAAGTTTAAATGATGGTGGTTGTGACAAAGAGCCAACATTCTTATGATATTTGCATTAAAGACCATTTTTCTCTGTTTTTTTTAGGCACCGTTCATGAGTTTTAAAGTCATCTGCAAGTGAGAAGAGGGTGTTGGAGCTGAAGTCTCTAATCTCCGTAAGTTTCTTTCACCCCTTTTAACTGCTTCCTCCAAAATCTTTCTTCATTATCACTGTTTGTCACCTTAGATAAGCTTTTCATCTAATTTGCTGTCCTTCTGCACATTTTTTTTGTCTGCATCTGTTCTTGTTTACAGTATATTTTCTTTTCATACCTTTTTTTGTGGTATACACAAACCGTGTCACGACCAATACTCTTTTTAAGCCGCATAGGACAGTCTTAATGGAAAGGATTTTAAAAAATAGTTATGTCTAAGGTTTGAATTAAGGTTAAGCCTCATACTAGTTAAATTTTTAGATGAATATCAGAATCAAAATAAAAATCAGAATCAGACATACTTTAATAATCCCTGAGGGAAATTACTTTTGTTACATAATCCAGATATGCAAATTTTTTTATATATATATAGATATATATATACAACAAACCACACTAGATAATATAAATATATACACATATAATTATTTTATATATATATGTATGTATATGCATATGTATAACTATAAATCCAAATAAAGTGATAAAGTTGTAGTAATGATTAAGTTTAGAGTTAGTTTAAAAAATAAACCAAAGCGATTATCATGTTTATTTTTTCCATATACAAAACTTTACCAGACCTTGTGCATGTCATCTGCTTTTTTTTCCTACCCCCGTCGTCACATTCTGAATGCTTTTGATTTGTCTCGCAGTGAATGCAGAACCCCACTTTGAGTAGTGTTTTCCTCTGTGCGCCTTCAATGGTGGCTTTCACTCTAGCAAAGAAAGGGGTCTTTTTTTTTAAAGACTCTCACAGGCATCACTCCAGGAACCTTTCAGAACTGGGACCCTACAGTTTGCCTTTTAATGGACTTTCTCTCCGTAAGCAATAAAGATTATATCTGTAGTCAAATAGTGTTGTAGGTAACACTAGCCTAAATTAAGCCAATCACGATGGTTTAGGCAGCGTCGGGAAGAAAAATGGAAATCTACAGATGGAAGAGGCTGGAGAAAAGAGTGATCTGACCATCTGGCTAATCCTCCTGTTTAGGAATACTTATTAAGGCACTCCCTGGTGGCCCTTGAGTTGTGTCATGGCTAGGTCAACAAGTGCTCTGTTTGATTCTGCCTGACATCTCAGAATCAGACCGCAGGAAGAATTATTATCATCCCGCATTGAATGCTGTTGGTCGGTGAGGGTCTCATCTTCAAACTGAATTTCTTATCAAATAGCCCCCCCCCCCCCCCCAAGCTTCAAATCCTGAGGTTGTGAGTTCAAAACCCTTGAGTTCAAAGCCACTCTGGGTCTCTGAGCAAGACCCTTAATTCCCATTTTCTCCCTGGGTGCCCCATGATGGCAGCTCAATGCTACCCAAGGGGATGGGTTAATTGCAATGTGAGATCAATAAAGGTTCAATTACTATCAAAATGGAAAATGTTTAAAAGGTACATAGTCCTGCTATATGCCTAACCCGAAACTTAAAAACAACATCCATTGATGATTATGATGAAATAAGGCTCTTTACTCCAAGCGTCCGCCCTGATACTGTTTTGATCGTCCTTTTTGAGCCTAAATAGAACCCCAGCAGTGGGTGCAATTAGCTGACATAAACAGGTGCTGTGTCATCTACTGGCAGTACCACTGAACTACCATAAAGCCAGATGGTGGCCATTGATGCAGATACTAAATTGGTCCTAGCTGAGCTGCAATACTGAAAACCAACAGCTGAAACCTACTCCTGTTTCCAGTTCCAGTGATTTCTCATAGAGTAGTAAAGATATCACATGAACTTTGAGTGCAGCAAAGTCAGTCATTTGCGGGGGAAATTTTACTTAACAAATGATTAACATGGCTGATTTACACTTGATTAACAACACAGACATTTAAGATAATTATTGTAAACAAAATGTTGTTCCTAGTTAATCCTAACTCCATCAGAATATGTTTTAAAAGCATTGCAACTTTGTCTGTGGGAGTGGGGCTTGAACTCAGAACCTCTGGATTTCAGGCTCTATGCCCTAACAACTAGGCCACTACTCCCCATAGAGCCTATCATATGGAAAATATACACAAAAAAAGGCTATATTTACTAACAAATTAAGCAAAACTAAAGCTTAAACGACCAAAAATAACAAATACTACGGCAACAGGATGCCATAATTAATCATAAAAACGTTTTATAAAATCAGAGTGAGTTGCTGGCATATAAATATAAAAGATGTCAAATAACTTGACTAAACATGACCTTTAGCATCTCAAAGCCTGACTGACTGACAGGATGAACAGTCCATGCCAACAGGACATAGCTTATCTGGTACCTCCTTCTGGTTCTTGTTGTCCGTTTCCATGAGCTGAACATCACGGCTCACACGTATTTTGGCTACACTGATGACAAAATATTTTAGGAGATTATATGCCTTTTAACGACAGGCTGTCCAGAACTTAGAAAAATAAAACCTAAAGCAAAAATTGCTTTTGATTCTATTACTCTTACTTAATTACATCAGTGCTTCTAGAAACTTGAAATCGTATTAACGTGTTTTTAAAAATGCAATTAATGCCTAAATTAAATCACAAAGAGGTAAGATGACAAATGGATTCTCCTAACAAGATTAAAATCTTGAAGTCGTGACTGAAACAATTTATGCTGTCTTTGTTTTTAGGGGGTTTTGAAAGGAAAACGGTGCCATGCGGTGGAGAATTAGCACAATTAGAGACCGAACTCACTGCAGCCTTGGTTGGTTCATAAGAATCTGAAACAACTTTACAATGTGTTTATCTTCAAAGGGGCAAGAGTCAGAGCCTAATTTATGCCTTAAAAAGGTGTTTAAGAATGAATCAGAAAATATAAAAGCAATTCATATCAAGTTTTTAACAGATTCTTAAATGAATCATGAATTTTGTAGTTATTGAACTGGGTTTTGATATAAGAACCTTCCTTAATCGGAAAATTTTGAAAAGCACCCGATGCATATAAAATCAAATAACTAAACTAATGGTACATGTGTGAGGAGTTACACAAATGTAAACAGATCGCAAGCGGTTGTGGAGATAGCTTGAAAGCTAATTAGTTAATGAGCTAATGAACCCACTGATGTTGCCTGTTTGGCTTCCCCCAAAACAATTTCCTCTTTTTTTTTCTTTCTGCTTCATCTTTGTATGTGAACTTTGCTTTGCTCCAATTACAGAATATAACACAATTTACTGTTGTTTCTGTGCAGTTAGCTGCATGCTTCCTGTGATTTACAGGGTTCTCTAGCTAGGTTTAACTATGCCAATAAGTAGTTTACATCATTGGCACGAAGGTTCTTGTCCTTTTAGGCTTTTAGGATACATTTGAGACGTTTATTTATTTCCAAATACACACAGTTTTAGAATCATACATACAGGCTAACATCATTTCTTTCAGCAAGTTAAAGAAAAAACACACTTTCATAGACATCAAGAAATCACTTTCATCCTTTTAGACGATTATTGGCTAACTGAAGGCTTTCAGAGAAGTTGGTTTTCTGTCCTCAACTTTTCTGTTAGCGTGCCACCTTGAATCCAAAATAAAATTTTAATACTAAATAGGCTCTTTTCCCTGTTGGAATACCCAATTGTTACATTTTAAACCTTTTGCCTGCTGATGATTAAATCAAACTTTCTACCTATACTGTAAAAAACAGAACACACACACACACACACACACAAAAAAAAAAAAAAAATACTTTTTTGTCCTAAAAAGTTATCTCCAGGTGTGTAAAGTTGTTAAAAATCTTTTGTGCTTTTGTTATGAAACGTGGGAAAACCAATTTCTGGAGTTGGCTTTAGAGTTAGAGGCTCAATATTCTGTCTAATATTCAAGTTTACCAATAAAGTTTGCTGCTAAAGATATTCAACTTACAAAAAGGTTGGCAAACTTAAAAGGTCCTAAATGTAAATATTTGCTGATATTTTTTGCCTTTACATTTTGAGTTCTGCTGACCTTGCTTTTTTCACAGTGCACTTTTTTCAATGCATCTGCATCACTAAGAGAGAAAGAGACCCTCAGCATGATTATGCCACTGCCATGCTTGTCAGTTGGTGCAGTCCTTTAAATATTCTCCTAGTAAATGCGGCCAAACACTGTAACTGTGCTCAGTTGATGTCTCTCATTGATGTCAGAAATAAGAATATGGTTTCTCTTCAACTTGTTTAACTCTATGGAGGATAGATGTATTTATTATATTCTGAGCCTGTTTTTGTCACTTTAAATCTGTGGTGTAGATGGAACAAGATTCCCAAATAAAGTCAAACGAGTGTGTCCCCCTCTTTGAGATTCATTGTTGTTGTTGGTGGTTAAAGTGGAACAATTGAACCAGAATTTTAAAGCTCAACATTTTTTATTAGATGCTACAAATGAAAGCAAAAAAATTCTGATTTTCAGAGTTATGTATGTACTATATGTGCCTATAACAGATACGTTAAAAGTTCCTTTTTAGTAGTTTGGAAAGAAGTTATGAATTTCAGTGATGTGCTGTGGCAAAGCAACAGATTATATGTTTTGTGTTATGTATTTAGCGGTTTGTCAGGCTGTGTCTGTACCAGCTTATTTGTGTGTATCCTTACATGCATGCTGGTGTTTTGCTCACTCATGCCACATCAGTATCTCATCTGAGGTCCATCTGGTTGTGGAGTTGCAGCAGTTCCTCCTCGCTTGCACAGGAGCCCATGGTGCGCGGCCCTTTGCCAATAATAGTATAGATCGACGGCCGTGGCTTCCAAACCACCCAGGCTCATACCCCACTTTCTCTCTTCTATTGCCCTTGAAATGAGGTCTGCTCTAAATATTACCTCCCCCTTCGCTTTATACCTCTGTTTATCCTGAAGTCGGGAGAGTTAAGAAAGAAGCTGTGGGGCTGAGTCACTTTTTCCCCCCTCGTTTCTCTCCTTCTTTTCTCGCCAAAACCACATGCAGCGGCAGTGGCTTCCTGGAGATGAGCGCTTTTGTCTGTTCTGAGACTGCTGCGGCTTTAGGCAGATCCTGCTCTGATGAGGT